TAATATATAACACTTATGTATAAGTACATATTTCATATATATATATTGTAATATGATTTATTTATGAAAAAATGCATATCAGTCCCGACTTTAAAAAATAATTGGAATTTTAATTTTAAATTACATCATTTATTTAATTGAAACTCAATTAAATAAAAATTTAAATAGAAAAAATGAAATAAAGTGAAGAAGGATATGTTTAAATAGAAAAAACTACAAATTTATATTTTTAAATAAAAAATTATTTTTTAATTTTTTATTTAAAAATTAATAAAATTAATATTTTTATTTATATTTTTTTCTCAAGTGTTGATTATAAAAAATATATATTTAATGGATAAATAAGGAATTTGCCTAATTTATTGTGATTGAAAAAATCGTGGTAAGACCTGCTAAGATTTAATTAGTTTCATGGTAATTGAAAGGGTGGAATAGCAAGGATGGTATTGTTACCGGGTGAAAAAAAGTGAAGGAAGATATGTTTATTCATGTCTATTGCCGTTTGGGTGGCCTTAATCTTCTGCTAGTCTTTGTTGTCGAATTTAGATACCACTTATTTTTTAAAGAAATTATCTTTGTTGCTTATAAGTTAAATTTTTATATATGATAATATGAAATTTTTGTTTTAATATTATTTATATTTGAATGAGTTTTATGAGATTTTACTTAATTTTGTATAATTTTCATTTTTATGCCAAAAAAAACTTAATTAAAAGAAATCAGAATTTTCAAGACCAAATTGAAGAAATTATAACTTTGAGGATCAAATTATCAATCGGTGAAAAAAGGAGAGATCAGAACGGTTTTACCAATAAAGAACCAAAATTGCAACTTTGCCCAAAATTCCCGACGCGGACAGGTTATCCACTGCCTTAGTAAGGTACCGCCACTTAGGTTTTTTTTTTTTTTTTAATCTTAATTGTATAATAAAAAATAATTATTTTTTACTATTTATTTTATTTTATTTAAATTTTATATGATTTAAATTTAAAACATTTTATTTTTAATAAAAATAAATAATCACTGCATTATTATTTAAGTAGTCGGTACCGACACTTACGTTTTGCGCCTCGATCCCTTGGGCAATGGCGGTCAATATACGGCATTGACCTTACCCTGCCCCTAGATAGTAGGGATATGGTAAGTGTAAGTCCGTCCTGAGGAATAGTTATTTAAAAAAAAATTAAAAAGAAAAGTCCTAAGGAGTGGTTGAGTTCATTGTTACCTCCTTTTTTTTTTTCTTTTTCTTTTTTTTTTTGATTCCCGTTTATTGTTACCTCCTTGTGAAACGTAAATGTGCTCAAGACCTCATTTATTCAGAAAATGAAATCTTGTGGAAATTAAATTCCGTAGGTGGCTGGTCAGAAGAGAACCGCGTTATCTTTCTTGAGACTGTATATGGTCCAATAATTCACATGGACTGCATTGATTGTATGATTCCAACAGCAATGGCTTTTAACTCCCAATAATTCATATGCACTGCATTGATTTTATGATTCCAACAGCAATGGCTTTTCACTCCCTTTCCCAACTCTTCTTCTTGCTGCTTCTTCCACCATTTGTTGTTTCTCAAACATCTAATATCACTTTGGGATCACACCTTGTTGCTTTCAAAGATTCACCTTCTTGGAAATCTCCTTCAGGTGAGTTTGCCTTTGGATTTTACCAGCTTCAGAATCAAGAGCAGTTCTTGCTGGCCATTTGGTTTGACCAAATTCCCGATAAAACAACTATTTGGTATGCAAACGGAGATAACCCAGCGGCAGAGGGATCAAGGGTTGAGCTTACAGTAGGTGGAAAACTCCAACTAACTTCCCCAAATGGCCAAATCCTTTGGAAAGCCACATTCATGGATGATGGCACTGCTTATCCTGTTGATGGGGCTGCTTATGCTGCTTTTCTAGACACAGGCAACTTTGTTCTTGTTGGTAAAAATCTTTCCTATGCATGGGAGAGTTTCAAGAACCCTGCAGACACCCTTTTGCCAACCCAAGAACTGCCGCTTGGTGGAATGCTATCTTCTAGACAGACGCGAAGCAATTACTCCAGGGGAAGGTTCCAGCTCCGCTTGCTACCAGACGGTAACCTCGTTCTTAATACGATTTCCCTACCCAAAGCAAATGCATATGCTGCCTATTACATCAGCGGCACTTTTGATGAACATAATAGCGCCAATTCTGGTTACAGGGTAGTTTTCAACGAATCAGGCTACATCTACATCGTTCGAAGGAATGGGCAGATTTTTAACCTGACAACAGGTGAGATAGTGCCTTTACAGGATTATTATTACAGAGCAACACTTGATTTTGATGGAATTTTCAGAGAATATGCCTACCCCAAACCTAAAAGAACTGGCATTATCGATCAGTCCTGGGCCATTGTTTGGAACATCCCCCCTGACATTTGTAATGCAGTGAATGGTAATCCCCCAACTGGGGACTTTAATGAGGGACTTGGTTCTTGTGGCTTTAACAGCTACTGTAAAATTGATAGTAATGCACGGCCGAGTTGTGAATGCCTCCCTGGCTTCAATTTCTCCGATCCAAACAACAAGTTCAATGGGTGCATTCAGGACAGGATACAGGAATGCAATCTGGGCCCTTCAAAAGTAGAGGATTTGTATGATATGCATGAGTTACCAAACACTTTCTGGCCAACGTCTGCAAACTTTGAATGGACTCCATCAAATGAAGATGAATGTAGGCAATCTTGTCTCTATGATTGCCAATGTGTGGTTGCTGTACTTCGAGAAGGAGGTTGTTCGAAGAAGAAACTACCGCTAACAAATGGAATGGTGACCAACAGATTCAATGGCAAAGCATTCGTAAAGGTAGCAAGATCTATTAATGCTTCTAGTTTTCCGAGACCTGAAGGTCCTGGACCACAGAAGAAAGATCAATCAAGTGTGATTCGGGTGGGATCATTTCTTTTAGGAGGCTCAGCATTTATCAATTTCCTGCTCATAACTGCAGGCTCCATATTGGCTATCTGGTCCTGCAACAAGAAACGGAAACCAGATCAAATTTCAAGCACCTTGGAAAGTAATCCACGACCTTTTACTTACCAAGATCTTGAGGAAGCCACAGATGGGTTCAAGGAAGAACTCGGAAGAGGTGCTTTTGGAGTTGTGTATAAAGGGGTTTTACGATATGCACATTCAACAATAATCCCCATCGCTGTGAAAAAATTAGACAGGTTAATGCAAGAAGGTGAGAAGGAATTCAAAGCAGAGGTAAATGCAATTGCTAAAACCCATCACAAGAATTTGGTCAGTTTGATTGGATTCTGTGAGGAAGGGCTGCACAGGCTTTTAGTCTATGAGTTCATGAGCAATGGAACACTAGCTAGTCTCTTGTATGGAGATTGTAGACCTGAATGGAAGAGTCGCACTAAAATGGCTTTTGAGATTGCAAGAGGACTAGTGTATTTGCATGAGGAGTGCAGCAGACCCATTATCCACTGCGACGTTAAGCCTCAAAACATACTTTTGGATGA